ACCTACAAATTGACAATGCAGCCCGTTGACATCAGCAGCAGAACTGAGGTACATGAAGATGTTGACCCCTGTAGACCATCGCCAAGACCAGGTATGTGCCCTCACATCATCAACCTCATCTTTCTCTCTCTCTCTTACCCTGGACTTTCTTACCCACGTCTTCACCCTCATGCACGAAGACCACCACCACCCGCTTGACTAAGTCCAAGCCCAAGCCCAAGCCCAAGCCCGGCTACGTGGGCTGGGCGTTGGTGCAATATCAGTGCATTGCTGCTTTGGGCAGCGCGTTACCGCACGCGCACGCGCTTCTGCACTAGCACTAGCAGCAGCCCGCAAGCGTTCACTCCAGCAGCGCTGCCACCTGCTCTACCGAGTGCCCAAATATTGAGCCCAGCGCCCTGCCCTTTCCTATACGGAAAGTGGCGGGCGCTTTGACGGAGAAAAAAGTGTTTGTGCCCAGGCCCTTTCAGACAGTGGCTTGAGACCGAATTGGTTAGGCATGCCCAACCACCCAGGCACAAACGTGCGATACTCTCTGCTTCCACCACGTTGCTGGAAGAGCCTGGAAGGCTCTCAAGTATTTTCGATTGTCACGAGCTGGGCCGGTGTAACCAACTGGCGCGTGGCAACTGTCTGGCGCCGACCAAGATTTGCAAACATTGACGAATTCAGGGCGCATTGAGATTCAGGGGGCCCACCTTCACTTAGTGTGGGCACGCACCTGCTGCAGGGCCCTATGCCGAGGCATAAACCTTCGCAAACATTAAAAAAAAAAAAAAAGAAATATTCCGAAAAAAAAATGTTGTGTAGAATTGCAAAAGAAACTACTTTTGGGCCGTTTTGGCTGAGGGTCACATCAGAATTCCTCACGGAACAGAAGATAAGAAGTCATAAAAGGACTTCAAGTTTGGGCATTAGTATACAACCACCCAGGCTCTTGCAATATGAAACTGTGGGGTTGCGATAACAAATTCTAATGGGTATGCGCGCAGGAAGGTTTTCATGACCAGCTGGTCTGGACCGGCTGGTCACCCGGGCATGACGCCGGGGGGGTTCTGACGCCTGTGATAGCCGGGCATGGAGAGGGGAAAAAAAAAAATGGCGGTGGGGGGTTTCCGCGCTCTCCGAGAGGAGTCTAAATCCGGGCTCCTTTCCTTTCTTTAGTGCTGGCTGTCAAGGGGGGGAAAGGGGGTATAAATTGGTTTTAAAGAGGCTAAACTTCCGCTAAAGGGTTTAAAACGGGGTGCCTTAGTGTGACTCAGTTATTTTCTAATAATGATACAACAATTGCAGCTATCCCTACCCACTGTTGTACGCTCGTTATTCGAACATGGCAGGAACTGTGGAATTACACCTCGACCCACAAAGAACGACTTTTAATTCCAGTTAAACCGCTAGTACACGGCCCTAGCCTTGTTGAGATTAGCTTGTCACTTACTCTAGAAAAATTTGCGCCTTGGGCCTACTGGAGCGCAACGGTTGGCGGCGCCAGCCAGACAAACAAAAAGTGCGCTGTTGGCGGTTTGGAAAACCTTGATGTGCAGTGCAGCGCCTCCCAGTCTGGGTGTACTGGTGGTTTAAGGAGCAAGGCTTCTCGCACACCTTTTCTTACCATGAGGAATTTGCCTTACGTTGGCACCAACGTCAACACCGATGTTAGCATGCCTCTTCTTACCATGAGAACATCACAATATGTCTTACCAAACGCTGGGAAAATTGGTGATCAAGATGTTTTATTGTAGAACCAAACTGCCGCTTTCTGCCGACTAACTCTGATTTTGCTTGCCCAGTTGGTAGGAACATATGTGGATAAGTACGAGGTTGAGGGATCTAGCCCCTTTTTGTTACAAAATTCTGATTTTGTCAGTATCTGCTACATTCTGTTAAAGTTCTTCCCCCAGTCGGCCGGGTGTAACACTATGTCGCGACTACTGTCTTCAACCGAAAATAACGCCCGGGCGTTGTATACGAATATGACGCCCGCCGGGCGTTATATTCATTGGTAACGCCCAGGCGATTGGTGGCAACTGCAGTGGGGGCCCAAAAATTCGAAAAAAAATAAATTCAAAAAAAAATAAATTTCTGTAAAAACAAATATGTTGTCTAGAATTGCAATGCGACCATCTTTTGGCTGAGAGTCACTACAGAATTCCTTATAAACGCGGAAATAGAAAATAAAAACAAAAAATCAAATCGAAATATGCCCCTTGGAAGTAGAAACCCCTTTCAACCCCCTTTAAAACCCATGTATATCCCCCTCCCCGCCCTTTCAAACTCATGTATACTGCCTCGACAAGGCACTCTGCCTATGGAACATTCAAGTAAAACGCCCGGGCGTTCTATTCGAATATAACGCCCGGGTGTTCTATAACTTCTATTCGAATATAACGCCCGGGCATTACATTCAAAGTGGCATTCTATTCCAAAAAAGAGAGTAAAAAGTACTAAAAACGAGAATCTGATGGTAGTCCCGATCGGATTCTGCTGTTTTGTATACTGGTCGTCTGATAAGCAACTTGTTTTCCGGTTGCTATCAACGAAGGACAGGAAAATGTGAATTAAAAACCGGCAAGTTGAAAATGTATTTTCATACAAAACCTTGACCGGCACACCTGCAACAATTTGGTTTGTTCATATCTGGCGAGTGGCGTGGCGAGTGCCTATAGCGGCTGCCAGTTTCCTTTCTGGGCACCGAAGACCTTCATGTGTAGTGTGTAGTTGTGTAGTGCTGCTCAGAGCTTTGTGAGGCATTAGTCTACCTAGCTCCACTCGGCCTCAGTCTGTCTTTCCTCCTTCCGTGTGACATGCCCAAATTCCTGCCTCCCTCCCTGGCACCACGCGCCCGACCTCCTTCCTTCTTCCCTGCGCCTGACATGCCTGACCTCCTTCCTCCCTCCCTCCGTCCAACATGCCCTCCTTCCTCCCTCTTCCCTTTCCCGTCCCTCCTGCTGACTGCAGCGTGCCTTCCACCATCCGACCTCCTCCGTCTCTCTGTCTTCCTCAACGGACCTTCCCATTTCTCCCCACTGTCTCAAAGCTTCCGCCAGCTGTCCTGCCCACGACCACTGCCAGTCTCCCCATCCTCAACCTCGTCATCGGTCATCTCCATCGTCCGAACTCAGCCCTCCCTGAATTCTGAAGTCTGCCATACTGCTGGCTGACCTCCTCCCTCACCGATCTCCCCTTCTGCCTGATGTCTGCAGGGCTTCCAATTGTTCCTCCCGATCTCTCCCCCCCCCCCCCCCCCCCCCCCCCCCCTCCTTCCGTCCTCCCCCATCCCCCCCCCCAATCTCCCTCCCTCCTTCCTCCCTCCGCCGTCTCTGTGCCTCTCTGCCTGACCTTCGCCCTCCCTCCCTCCCTTCCCCTCTCTCTCCTCTTCACCTCTTTCCTCACTTTGCCTGTCTGCCATGTGCGAACCCCCTCCCCCCCCTCACCAACACCTTTGACCATCTCTGCTGCCCCAACCCTGTCCCCTCCAATCCTGCTTTATCCCGTCACCCGCTTGTCCCGTCACCCCCCTTCTCCTGTTTCTTTAGGACTCTCCCCCCGCCTGGTCTTCGCATTGCAATCAGGGGTGTAGTACCCTGTTGGATCTCTCCTATGTCTATTGTGGGTTGAGTCTATGACAACAGCGTATGCCAAGTTTTGTTTGACGTTTGATCTTCTCAGCGGCTTGGAACAATAGACATGTAAACAACCGAGGTTCTATGAGGAGGATGAGGAGGGTCTATGACGTTTGATCTCTCCTTTGTCTTTCCTTAAACCCTCTGGCTCGGACGAATGAACACGAAGGATGGAGGAGGAGGAGGAGGAGGAGGAGGAGGAGGAGGAGATGGAGGGAGGGGATGACGAGGACAAGAGCAAGATGGAGAATAAGGTAATCAGGCGCCGCTGTGTCACGTGGCACGCGACTGGAGGAGAGAGGAGGACGAAGGAGGGGGAGGAAAGAGGAGGAAGAAGAGGGAAGGAGGAAAGAGGGAGGAGGACGAGATGAGAATGAACACGAAGGATGGAGGAGGAGGAGGAGGAGGAGG